ATCATTTATTTATGCACATTTCCTAATGTCATGCATGCATAGAGCTGAAAGGCCTCTTAGAAGTCAGCACATAGTGGAACAGGTCAGCACTGATCTTCATCTGTTCTTGGCTGACAGACTATCTCCCAGCTTGACTTTGGCCTTGTCTGCAGGGCCAAGACCCCATACTTGCCCTTTAAATCTCACCAAAAGTAGCACTTTTCTGGTATTCAACATTATGCTATAAAATATCCTATTTACCCAATGTTGCCTATCGCAGGCCCTCTGAGAAATGGTCCCTATGCCTCAGAATTGTCCTGGTACCAGGGGGACAAACAAAGTTCATCCTTGTTCAGTAAGCTGAAAAACCTTGTACAGCTTGGATTGTTGGCCTTTCTTTTCCCAACTGTGTCCAGTCATGATCACCAACGCCCAGCACTGGGTATCACTTCACTTCCAGTTCTTGATCAAAGCTGATAAAGACTCACTTCAGGGAGAAATTATGGAAATAACACAAGGATTCAGTAAGACATATAGCAATAGAAAATACCATATACACATAAATGGGTGATTTGTTGGTATAAAAATAATAATCAGTATAGGGTGGTGTGGTAGGTGCCTGTAGTCCCAGCTATTTGGGAGGCTGAGGCAAGAGAATCACCCTAAGCCCAAGAACTGGAGGTTGCTGTGAGCTGTGATGCCACAGCACTCTACCAAGGCTGACAAAGTGAGACTCTGTCTCAAAAAAAAAAAAAAAAAGAGATAAGTTACACATATGTATGTAACTAGAAAATTTTTTTAATTTAATTTTTTTGTGTTAATAACTAGATAATTTGACATTACAGTTCACATAGAGAACTAAGTAGTCTGTAATGAATAAGGGGAAGGTGTTTCAGGTTAGCTTTCTAGAAAGAATGACTAAAAGAGTTGGATCAACCATAGGATTTCCCTCTGCTTTATGTACCAGAGAATGAACAAAACAATAAAGATTTTATGGCCAATATCTGAGAGAAGAAAGAAAACTAGAGAGCCAAGGCTAGAAGTTGGTGTTCCTTTTTTCATGAGAGGCATCTGCTGATTCTGGAGACAGAAAATGGGGCAGAAGTGATATCCGAAAGGGTAATGGCTGACAATTTTCCAAAATTGATGAAGTACACAAAGCCAAGAGTCAAGCCTTATGAACTGCAAGCAGGATAAATCTAAAGGAAATCATATCTAGGCTTATAATAAGATTGCTGAAAACCAAAGAAAGAGAGGACATTTAAGAAAGAGGAGTAGCAGAGAAAAAGGACAGATTACTTTCAAAGGAGCAAAGAGCAGATTGACAGCTGACTCCTCAACAGAAATAATTGAAAGTAGGGGAAGTGTAGTATGTCTTTGAGGTTGGCAGTCTTTCAGGTGATCCCTGTGTCCTTGAATTCACACCACTGAATGTGGGCTAGGCTTATTGATGTGCTTCTAATGACTATCATAAAGTGAAAGTGATGGACTGTCACTTCTGATATTAGGTTACAGAAAAACTTTGGCTTCTGTCTTACTCACTGTATCTTGCTCTCTTCCTCTCTTGCTGTTAACTAGTATGTTATGAGGGCAGCACCTATGGCTCAGTGGGCAGGGTCTCAGCCCCATATATTGAGAGTGGCAGGTTTGAACCTGGCCCTAGCCAAACTGCAACAACAACAAAACAGCCGGGCGTTGTGGTGGGTGCCTGTAGTCCCAGCTACTCAGGAGGCTGAGGCAAGAGAATCACCTAAGCTCAGGATTTTGAGGTTGCTGTGAGCTGTGATGCCACAGCACTCTACCAAGGGCGATAAAGTGAGACTCTGTCTCTAAAAGAAAAAAAAAAAAACAGTATGTTGTGAGCTGTTCTATGGAAAGGTTCACATGGCAAGAAATGGATGGAGGCCTCCAGAAAATCAATAGTGAGGAACTGAGGCCATCAGTCAAAAAGGCTGCAAGAAACTGAATCCTGACAACAGCTATGTAAGTTAGCTTAGAAGGAGTTCCTTCTCCAGTTGAGCCTTCAGATGAGACCAGATGGGTCCTGGACAATAGTTTGACTATGACTATAAGAGAGATTTTAAGCTAACAGTATCCAGCTAAGCCACATTCAGATTCTTGACCCATAGAAATAGGTAGATAATAAGTGGTATTTTTTTTTTTCTTGAGACAGAGTCTTACTCTGTCACACCCAAGTAGAATGTAGCGGCATCAGTGTAGCTCAACAGCAACCTCAAACTCCTAGGCTTAAGCCATCCCTCCTACCTCAGAAACCTGAGTAACTGGGACTACAGGAACATGCCATGATGCCCAGCTAAGGTTTCTATTTTATTTTTTTAAAGGAGAAATGAGGTCTGACTCTTGGTCAGGCTGGTCTCAAACTCCTGATCTCAAGCAATCCTTCTTATTCAGCCTTCCAGGGTGTTAGGATTATAGAAGTGAGACACTGCACTCAACTGTTTGTTGTTTTAAGTAACTATGTTTTAGGGTATTTTCTCATAGAGTAATAAATAACTGATACAGTATTAAAGCACTGAAAGAAAATAATTGCCAAATCACAATTTTATGTCTAGGGAATATGTTCTTTAAGAACATAACTGAGGGCTCGGCACCTGTGGCTCAAGTGGCTAAGGCACCAGCCACACACACCTAAGGTGGCGGGTTCGAATCCAGCCAGGGCTCGCCAAGCAACAATGATGGCTTCAACCAAAAAAAAAAATAGCCAGGCATTGTGGCGGGTGCCTGTGGTCCCAGCTACTTGGGAGGTGGAGGCAGGAGACTTGCTTGAGCCCAGGAGTTGGAGGTTGCTGTGAGCCATGCCACAGCACTCTACCCAGGGGGATAGCTTGGGGCTCTGTCTCAAAAAAAAAAAAAAAAGAACATAACTGAGAATAATTTTGGTTTCTGGCCATGATGGAGTAACAGAAACCAGATTTATAATTCTACCTTAAACAACTAAAATAACAGGCAAAACATCTGAAGGAAGAGTTATTTTTTTGTTTTGTTTTGGTTTTTTTGTAGTTTTTGGCTGGGGCTGGGTTTGAACCCTCCACCTCTGGCATATGGGGCTGGTGCCTTACTCCTTTGAGCGACAGGTACTGTCCTGAAGGAAGGGTTTTTAGATAATGGCCAATAGGCAGAACAAGGCAGTGATTCATGAGAGAAGGAAGAACACCCAAGTTAGCCTACAATCCATCCAGGTTATTACCTGGAGATTGTAGGTCACAGTACAGAGAGGGGGCTCAAACAGATCCTGTCGTTTTTTGTTTGTTTGTTTTGTTTTTTGCTGTTGTCCCAGATTTATTAAAATGTTACAGCACAGCAGATAGATTCAAACAGTTCCATGTGGTGTTTTGAAATTCATCCCAACTGTAGGCCGAGTGACCTAGAGGTTAGACAGACTGCCAAAGTCTAAAAGCTTCAGCATTTCCTTAGTGTCAGGATCTGCTTCAATGATCTCCTGATCCAGGGCTGAGTCCTCAGGGACATAGGTGTCTCTCCCCTCTTCTTTTCCTGCAGCTTGATGGAGATGCCTCTCACTGGGTCCCTCTGGATATGTTTCATCAGGTGTATGACAGCCCACTAACTTGCTGTGGAGTTTCTTGGTGGGAACAATGGCAATCTCCTCATACGTGTGCTTTTTTGTGTGAAAGTCATTGCCCAGATGCATGTAGTACTTCTCAGTAGTGACCCAGGTTACCTTCTTCATGGTTTTAGTGCAAATGCAGCCCATGTTGGCGGGTCCTTGGTAAAAGAGTAGATCTTGTCTTTCTTCCTGTGTGAAGGATACAGAGTTGAAAAATCAGAGAGGTAAATTTGGCTAGAATTTGTAGGAGAGACCTACACAGAGAACAGAGCTGCACAAAAGTATTTCTGGACATCTACATATGGCTCCATTTGTTTCTTCAGCTGAGTGTTTGTATGTGCGTGGGAAGAAACTACTCAAGTCTGGGGTAGTTCAATGGAAAAGAATAGGCCGTGTAATCCCCAGAGATCACATGGGGTTAGGAGTAGTTTGTGTTTCAATTCAGAGTGGCCAAAACTCATAATATATAGGGCATCAAATAGAGTACTCAAAACAGTATTGCATCAGTAGTGAGGAAATATTAACTTTGGGCTAGGGATAAAAATATAATGGCTGAGATGAAAAATATACTGGATAGAATTAACAGCAGATTAGGCACTACAGAAGAAAAGGTTGGTAAATATGAAGACATAGCAATGGAAAGTATCAAAAATGAAACATAGCAAAGAAAAAGACTGTATAATAAAAAAAAAATCTTTTTTTTTTTTTTTTTTTTTTTTTTATGGTGACAGAGTCTCACTTTATGGCCTTCAGTGGCGTGCCATGGCATCACACAGATCACAGCAACCTCCAATTCCTGGGCTTAGGTGATTCTCTTGCCTCAGGCTCCCTGTAGCTGGGACTACAGGTGTCCGCCACAACGCCTGGCTATTTTTTTGTTGCAGTTTGGCCAGGGCTGGGTGTGAAACTGCCACCCTCAGTATATGGGGTCGGGACCTTACTGACTGAGCCACAGGTGCTGCCCCCCAAAAAACCAAATCTTTTTTTGTTCTTTCTTCTTTTTTTTTTTTTTGAGACAGAGTCTTACTATGCCACCCTTGGTAGAGTCTCATGGTGGCACAGCTCACAGAAACCTCAAATTCTTGGTCTTAAGCGATTCTCTTGCCTCAGCCTCCTGAGTAGGTGGGACTCCAGGGTCCTGCCACAACACTCGGCTATTTTTTGTTGCAGTTGTCACTGTTGTTTAGCTGGGTCTGGCTGGGTTGGAACATGCCACCCTTGGGGTATGTGTCTGGTGCCGTAACCACTGTGCTGCAGGCACCAAGCCTGTTATTTTTGTTTTTTGTGCACTTCAGACAGTTTCAATTAAAGTTTCCAAAGGAGAGGAAAGTGAAGAGACAGCAAACATAAACAAATAACTGCAGAAAATTTTGCAAATTTGATAAAACCTATCAATGCACAGGTATGGGAATCTTAACAAACTCAAGAACAAGAAATACAAAGTAAACTACAACAAAGCACATCATATCAAAGTACTTAAAACCAGTAATAAAGAGAAAATCTTCTTTTGAGAGAGGGCCTCACTTTGTCATCGAGGCTAGAGTGCAGTGGTGTGATCATGGCTCACTGCTGCCTCTAACTCCTGGGTTTAAGCGATCCTCTTGCCTCAGTTTGTGAGAAAAAGTTGTATCCATATATAAAGAAAGAAAGATAAGGTAGCAGATGTTATACTGGAATGTCCCTTCTATCCCTTTCTTTGTGCCTTCAGTAGCTCAGCTGGTAAAGCAGAGGACT